GCCAGGAAGCGCTGGTAACTCTCCTTGCCCTCCTCCGTGAGCACGTCCAGCGCCAAGCGGTAATACTCCTTGTAGTGGGGTGGAAGGTAGTTGGGGTCAAGGGGATTGTCCCCCTGCGAGGAGCTTTGGGACCGACGAGCCATGAGGGAAGGGAGAGCTGTAAGGAAATCAAAACCAGCCATGAGAGTGGTGTCACAACAGCAGCACATCCTCGCAGAGCAAAGGGAAAAGATTCAAAGCACATGGAGCGATGCTGGAGAAAGTTCATTCAAAGGGATGGGAGCATTAATTAGGCAAAGGTGTGAGTCACTTAACCATTACCTTCACAGAGTCAGTTGTTTTGAGCCAAAATAAGGAACAAATCAATCAGGCAGCCCTGGGATGAGTAAGGCCTATGCACTTGACAGAATGCCCACCTTTCTCTTTTAGGCTGCTGGTCGCTAGGCTTAAATTTGTCGTTTATTTTAAAGCCGAGTCGTTATTTTCTGCACTCAGTTAAAATTAATTTCCAAATGCTACAAAAATTATTTACTGTGTCATAGGTGAGTTTTGATGGGGGGGGGAGGGGAGGGGCTATAGGGTGGCTTCTGTTAGAAGCTGCTAAAAGCTTCCTCTGTAAGTGAATGATAGCCAGCTCCAGGAGGGACTCCATGCCAGTACAGCTCATTCATGAAGGAGTGACCCACGGGACAGCAGATTGGGCAGAACTGCTGCCCCAGGGATGGACTCCCACTGGAGAGCTCCATCAAGAACTGTCTCCTGTGGGAGGGACCCCCACGGGAACAGGGGAAGGACTCAGTGATGTGGTTCCCCTGTAGCCTGTGGTGAAGGCCATGGGGATGTAGGTGTCCCCCTGTGGACCATGGAGGAGTAACCCACAGGACAGCGGAATGGGAAGAGCTGCTGCCCGAGGGATAGACTCAAACAACACCCTGAGTGCAAAAACCCCCCTTCCCCGTCCCCCTGCACTGCTGGGGGGGAGGAGGGAGAGCTGAGGAAGAAGAAGGGGTGGGGGGGAGGGGAAGGTGTTTTTAAGACTGTTTTATTTCTCACTCCTTAGCTCTTATCTTGTTAGTAATAAATTTAATAATAAATAAATTATCCCCACTCTAACTTGGTTTGCCTATGAAAGCAAGTGACTTCTCTCAACCCTTATCTCTACTCAGAAATCCTCAGCTGGTTTTTTTTATTCTCTCTCCTTTTCCAGGTCGCAGAGGGAGGGTAGTGGAGCAGCTTTTAGTGGATATTTGAAATCTGGCCAGGTTCAAAAACCACTACAACTGTGTGTAATGTGGCCCTAAATCAAAAGAGCACCCTCTGAATCCTTTAAAGTTGAGTCTTATAATCACCTCAGCACTCAAACAGAAGCAGGGGTTGGGTGTGTGCAGGTGTCCTGCTGGTGTAACACAGTCAGGAGGCGGAGGAGTCCTCATGAGATGAATGAAGAAATAAAAAAACAAGGGACTTGATTGCTTCTTCAACCTCTTGAGGAAAAATCGGAGCTAAAGGGGCTCATATTCATTATTTGGTAATTGTCTGTAGGGGACTAATTATTTGAGACTACAGACAAATCTGATTTTAATCAATTTTTGAAAGAAAAGTTTGTCGTGCCACAAACAGAATCATTATCTGAGTGATCTGCAAAGACTCAAAGCAGTCAGCTTCACGCCCTGAACTAATGGCAATGCTGGGATGTTCTTTTACTGTGCCCCAGCACTGAGGTGCCAGCAGAGATCTCCTCATGATCCCCAAAAAGAGTGAGTGACTCCTGCTAAGTTACACTAATGACTGTGAGTACAGAGGGCGAGGGTCACTCCTGTTTTCACTGCCATCCAGCAGCGGTGAAACAGCCTTTTAATTTGATATTGATTGATATAATTATTTCCCAGCGGTTATAAATTAAGAAGGAGATGAAGCTTTAAAGAAGTGTTGGGTAATGCTGAGTGTTACTGGGTAGGACCAGAGAAGACAGCACTGCACACATTCAGGGGGAACTTGCAACTGGAATGTGCTGGGGATATGGAAGTTTCATTCCTCACATCCCCCCAAAAAGCTGGTTTATGCCTGAACTCTCTTCAGTCTAGAGAAGACATCCACAAACTGTGACCAGGGACAGCTGGGCCTCTCCACGTTCAACACACGAACTAAAAGGGCAGAAAAGGTGGAGTCCCCATCCCTGAGAGGTTTTAACAGCCCTGTGAATGTGGCACTTGGGGACATGGGGCAGCGGTGGCCTTGGCAGTGCTAGGGGACAGTTGGACTTGATGGGCTCCGAGGGCTCTTGAAACCGAAACAATTCTCTAATTCTGTGATTCCAGCTCCTTCCCACCGGACGTTTTGGAATGGTTAAAGCATTTAAGGGATATTTGAAGGGGGCCTGGAAAATCCTGCGCTTCCTGGGAGATGGGGTTATTTCCTCACAAATCTGAGAACTGTGAAAGAAAAAAACAGAAGTTCTGTTTCTGCCACCATAAGTGTCTGTCCCAGTTCTAGAAATGTTCTAGGGCTTGGAACTACCTGGTCTAGCAGAAGCTGTCCCTGCCCATGGCAGGGGGGTGAAACGAGATGAGCTCTAAGGTCCCTTCCAACCCAAACCATCCTGTGATTCCATGATTCTATTAATTGTTGGCATCCTTTAATTCCCTGAGCTACAACAAGAACTGTAGCATGTTGATGAATTCTCAGCTTGCATGAAAAATGCTGGCTTATATATGTAAATATTTATATATATATGTGTATATATATATATACATGTGCACAAAATTATGGCTATTCCATTAATCCTCCAAACTCTTTCCCTATCAGATAAAGTGAAAGGGGAGAAGTTACTGGAACCTCAAAAGATATTTATTACCTTCTGTCACTCTGGTGGGCGTGATCTGAGCTCAGGTCAAGGAATAAATAAAACTTCCCCTGCTACAGCCCATCTTGCCAAATTCAGCTGGATTCTGCACTTGGCTCATGGATTTTTTTTATTTTATTTTATTTTATAATTTTGTTTTGCTGTGTTCCAGCTCCTGGGAACACGTCTGCAGCTGGCAGAGCCCTGAGGAACTGGGTCAGATTTGGTGTTGTGAAGCTGCCAGCTGCCAGGCTGGGTCTCCAGTTCTGGGTCAAGTCATCCACTATTTGGGAAGCAATTCCTCTCCAAATCGTTTGGAAACAACCACACAGGATTTGTGGCTGATATTTGTGTGCCAGAGGGAGGTTTCTAAGACAAAATTGGTTTTTAAACTCCTGTCTCTTCCCTTCTAACTAGTTTCGATCCATTCCAAGCGTGTCCGTTATCCCAGCGCAAGGCTGAATTTGGTGGAGCACCAGCTGACATGCCTTAGGGAACAGGAGATGGATTACTCAGTGTGCAGCATTGCCTTGTTATGTTTTTTTTTTTTTTTTTGATGCCAGAACTGTGTATTTCATGTATTTTGTAGGGCATTCTGTGCTTTTAGCTTTGGTTCCTTTAACAGGAGTTCAGGGAACACCATGTCAAGTTTCCCCACTCCAGAGGGACAGGAGATTGGACACAGATTAGCTATTTGTACTCTTCAGTGATGGCTGGATGTTCCTCGATCAGGGGCAGCTCAATCAGGAGGGACTCCAAGCAGGAGTTGGCTCCTTGCTTGAACTTCACCTGCAAATCTGTTTCCTGCAGCTTCTTTCACCTCAAAGAAAGAAAAACGTTGTCTTTTTGGAATTCTGAACCATCAAAGCTGGCAAAGAAACGGAGTCACAAACTGAAAATACACCAAATGTAGATTTTCAGCCTGTAACTACTGGGTAATAGAGATTTTTACTTATATGCTTTTTTATTTTATTTAATTAGGAATTTCATTTTACGAAGATGCTAAAAATAATGTGTGGCACCTCCACAATTCCCTTGGGGATCTTTATAAAGGGTAACAAGATGTTCTGTGTCCAGTTAGAGCTCAGGCAGCGAACTGTTGGTGGGTACAAGAGAAGAGCTCACGTCAACCCAACACCTGCAGCTGTGAGCAGCTGTGTGACATGCTCAGGCCAAAGGGAACCCCTCAACATCCCTCCTTCCACTTCCATGACAATATTGGAAAAGTAAGACCCCAAAGCCTTAGTCCAAAACCCCCAGAGCCACAAACCCTGCAATTCCCCCCCCAGGAGGGAACAGAAAAGCTCAACATCATCAATGTTCTTCACATCTTCACGATTTTACCAGGAAAAGCCTCCCAGGAAGAGTGGGAGAGAACTGCCCCAGGATTGGACAGGACAGCAAAAGACTCCTGCTACATCCTGCCAATACGACCTGGGAGAAAATTTCAGCCTTTTTTTTTTTTTTTTTTTTTTTTTTTTTTTTTTTTTTTTTTTTTTTTTTTTTTTTTTTTTTTTGAGCAGAAACACACAGATACGGGACCTGAGAAGTTCTTCGGTCCACTGATCCCACTGGCAACACCCCCACTGATCCCACTGCCCAGGCCCTGGTGATTTAGGGGAACATAAAAGAAAATCTTCAGGGGCAA